CGTCTCCAAAAATTCTCTGTAACCGTTCATTCTATATGCTTGATTTTTTTTTGTTTGAAAGAGTATGTCCGGATGCAGTGCCTATGAGAGCCCTTTTTTTTTTAAACTCTTACTTTTTAAGGGAAAAAAAGATCGAAAGTTCAGTGACTCAAAAAACCTCTCCAAAAATGTCGCTCTAATTATATAAAGGTTTGTATACACAATAAAACCAAAGTTTACTTAAAAAAAACTGGCTCTCATAGGCACTGCAGTTTTACACGCTCTATTAAACAAAAAAACCTATTGGCTACAATGATGCTTCTTTGAGAAACCTTGGAGATGCGATCGAGAACCTACAAAAATCGAAAAATCGAAAAAGATTTTCGGTTTTATGTCGAATAGGAGATGACGGAAATCTTCAACAATTTTTGAAAAAAAAAGGTGCCGAGTAAAAATTTTTGTCGTTTCCGAGAGATCAAATGGCGGGCTATCTTCTCCTGTATTTATCTTAAGTTCGATGATTTTGACGAAAAGTGACTTTTCTGGGGAGGGGGCTTAACTCCTATTTTATTATAAATTTTCTTTCTCACAAATGTATGCTTAAAAGTTTAAGTTCAAGACACACTATCAAAGCTTATTTTAATATTTTCGTTTTCTAGAACCATTTATATTTTGTGTGAAACAATCTCTTTGATAACAGTTATAAGTTGATTCATATGAATTCATTTGATATAAAGGTATAATGTATTAATCAGCAAAAGGATCGAAGTGAAATATCTTACCAAAAAAAAGATTTATAGCTCTTTCTATTTGAATATTATATAAAGCAATTCCAGATAAATTAGGATAATTTGTAGCAAGAAGAATACGTTCCATTGATAACGGTTCAAGATCGAGCCATTTGACTTTTTGATGAATTTTAGGTAAGATATGTAAGCAAAAACGATCAAGTATCGGATCAGGCAATGGATAAATATAATTAATTGATAAAGATGTTAGTTTAATCAAACGAATTGGTACAAGGCTTAGCAAAGTCAAACGATTCGTAAAAGTAAAATCATATACTATTCTATTTAAATGTATATTAACATCTGATAAATAGTAAAGTAGTGTAATATTGTCCAATTTTTTAAAAATCATTGTAACGATTTCATCAGGTAAATCTGTCAATTGAAGAGAAGAAGGTTTCATATTCATCTAAACTTATCTACTGTTTTTAACTTATAAATGTCTATATTTATATACATGTGCTCATCTCTTCTATTTGACCTCTTTCGTCAATGAAACAATGATGCGTTCATTTCTATAATATCATTGGACAATAAAGAAAATGATTAGTGATTGAATGAATTTTTTTTTCTTTTTGGTTTAACATCTCATTTAATATGTGAATAGAATGGATG